TACTTTCATTAGGATAGGATAGGATAGATATTTTTGTATTTCTGCGTCATTTTCCCTTGAGGACCACATAAATAAAAAATGGCTAATCTTAGCCCACTCTCCCCTATAAATATTAGACATTTATTTTAATATTTTACAGCATTAATCTATATTATATACAAATAAACAACTCATTTAGAACATTTATATTATTTTTAAACTATTTATAGGCCTACTATTAATATGGTTTGAATAAAATATGATTTGTTTCTGTCACAGTTCGTAGGAAGGAAACGAGGAGAGGAGGAGATAAACTTCCAATTGAACAGACTTTAATAACAAACTCAAAAAGGGCAGACAAAGTAGAACAAGGTAATGACAATACACGCCGAACACACGGGAAAACACGGAGCGGATTAGCGGAATCAGCGGATCTTTAGCGGAGCAGTAACCGAACGCTTTGAGCTGGGGTGAGGGTGGGGGCTGGTGAGAGGGGCACCTCAGCCAATGAGGGCAAAGGGGCAGTGGCTCTAGCCACCGGGCCACCCCTCCACAGCACGTTGTTCCACAGCACGGCCCTGCTGTGGAACAACCAGATGGTACTGAACAAAGACTCATTGCTGTTTTTGACCTTTACATGTTTTAATCACTGGTCTGTTCTCAATTTTGTTTGTGCTTCTCTGCCATCAATGTTTTGACAGATGTTTGCTTTCTTTGTAGTGACATGGAAATGCAGCATGATCCAGATTTGCAGTTTAAACTGGCTTATTCAGATTCAGAAAGAATTGACACAGGCATTAAAACCCGAGCAAGAGGCCAGTGGGCCAGTAAAGTGGAGTTTATCTTAGCCGTTGCTGGCCAAATCATTGGTTTGGGAAATGTGTGGAGATTTCCATATCTGTGTTACAAGAATGGAGGAGGTTTGTATATGTTTGTACTGTATTACTGTGTGTGAGCTCTATTAAAAATTCATTTTACCATTTCATTTTTTTCATTTTACCAATTCATTTTATCAGTTTAATTTAATTTTCACCATTTTTTTAGGAGTGTTTTTCATTCCATATATGGTCTTTCTGTTTGCCTGCGGCATTCCTCTGTTTCTTATGGAGACTGCTTTGGGTCAGTACACCAGCCAAGGGTCTGTTACCTGTTGGAGGAAGATCTGCCCACTATTTGAAGGTGAGATTTCATTGTTCACCTTTAATGTCATTGATAATGTACAATGGAGTAAATGCTGTTGTGTCAATCATAGTGCTGTATGTTAAAATTAGATAGTTGTAGTGGTGTAGTAAACAACAGTAGTGAACAATAGTGGTCAGAAATGTGAGAAGCTTCCAGTTTGTGTGCAGACTTTAAAATATTAAGGTTGCTGCTTACTGAATTTCGCAGTTTTTAGTAGTTTTCCAGAGCCATTACTTTTACTTTTTGTAAAATGTGCAGTTATTTCTAAATATATAATCTAGTAATAAATTAATACTTGTAAAAAAACTCTATGAAATTATGTGTAAGGTTTACCTAAAAAAGAAAAATTAAGGCACCCACTTTGGGTTTTTATGTATCAAAAATATTATAATAATCCACAAAAAATGGACTACTTGGATCCATATTTTGGATCCACAAAAAAAAGTTAAGCTTCAAAAATATGTAAAAAAACATGCTTTTACTGTTCATTCAAATGAGGTTTAAAAGCTCTTTGCTCTCAGCCTCCACACTTGCCTTTCACCTTCCAATCTTATTCCCAAATGCTAAAATAAACCACCCATAAATAATTGTTTAATAAGTTTGTGATTCGTAAAGTCAAGCAGTAGTTATAAATTAATTAGTGTTTCATATTCAAATATATTATATGTGTAAATTCAAAGATAATTCATAAAAATTCATCATTATTAAATAAATAATTATTTAACTTGTATAACAGTATGTAATATGAAACTCTCCAACACATTTAAGCTAAACATCAAACACAGACTGTTATTAAAAGGCTGATATGTTACTGTCAGCAAAAGAAACATCCAAAAAGGGGTGAATTGTTTTGGCTTGCTTTTCTTTAGGTCTGGGTTATGGGAGTCAGGTGGTCATCTTCTATTCCAGTGCCTACTACATCATCATTTTGGCCTGGGCTTTCTTCTATCTCTTCTCTTCTTTTAGTGGTGAACTACCATGGGCTAGCTGCAGGAACTGGTGGAATTCAGGTATGTTATAAAACTATTATTGTGAAAAATAGGCTTTTTCATTTCCAATAGATCATGTTTTGTAGAAACTCTTTTTTTCTTTCAACCTTACAGAGAACTGTGTTGAGTTCGACCAAATGGGAGGGACAAGAAACCTGAGCTTTATGGAGAATGCATCATCACCTGTTAAAGAATTTTGGGAGTAAGTTTATAAAATACCCAAAAGTTTATTATTATTATCAGAATTGAAGATTTGGTTATATGTATATATGTGTATGTGTATATATATATATATATACAGTGGTGTGAAAAAAGTGTTGGCCCCCTTCCTGATTTCTTATTTTTTTGCATGTTTGTCACACTTTAATACACACACACACGCACACTTTATTTATTTATTTTAAAGTAAGTAATAATTAAATTATTTAAACCTTAAAGGTCACAGAGAAGTCCTGTTAAGTAGTGAATATAAAACTTTCCAGTTATGCTCTGCTTTAATTATTTACTATGGTGCGCAAAATGTCCTTCTTTAGGGGACCATATTAAAATCTAATTTATAATAATTTAAAGTGCAAGTATAATCAGTTGAAATGCCAAATGTGTAATAATACTAAATGCAAGCATAACTTTCAAGTGTCATTATTGTTGATACATGAATTTGGAAATAAAGTTATGAGAATTACACAATGTATTTTGTAGGAGGCGAGTATTGAATATAACTGGAAGTGTGAATGAGCTGGGCAGTTTGAGATGGGAACTGGCTCTGTGTCTTCTGCTGGCCTGGATCATTTGCTACTTCTGTGTGTGGAAGGGAGTGAAGTCCACAGGCAAGGTGAGAACCAATTGAAAAGGCACTTTTAAATTTTTTTTTATCAGGTATAAATGTTATATATATTCTGTATATATATATATATATAAAGCTCAGTGGAGTTGTATATCTAATACAGATGACATCTGGCTGCACTGTAACGAATCAGCTCATGAGGAAATATGAATAATTAATCATACATAAAACCAGTGATATCATGATTAGTTGTCATGGTGACCAGGGGGCCTGGTGTTCTGCAGAAATCCTGGCATCCAGTTTATTGAGTGAGGGGACTGTGACGATTTGTTAATCTAATGAATAATTGATTTGTTAAATCAAATAAAAATTAGTGTGTCAGATTGGTCGAGACGCTACAGCACGTTACCTCAGTTCTCACATGGGCTGATTGTCATGGATATTGACATAGTCCGGTTGATAGTGTTTATATATATATAGATTTAAATCAGGTATGCTGGATCTCAAAACGGGAGTGTCCTTTTTTCTTTATTTTTCAGGTTGTATATTTCACTGCTACATTTCCATATGTTATGCTGCTGGTGCTTCTGATTCGAGGTATTACGTTGCCTGGAGCCATCGATGGCATCACCTTCTACCTCTACCCAAACCCAGCACGCCTTGCAGACCCACAGGTAAACAAATCTTACGTCTCATATGAGTGGTGATGGTAGGGGATGATTAAGCATTTTTTCACTTGAGAAGACATTTGCAACTAAAGAAACGAATAGTACTTTGGTCGTTACTTTTGTTTACAATGATGTACACTCACATGACCATCAGACCAGTCAAATCAGTGGCCTAAAAAAAGCGGTCAAATCAGCGGCCTATTTCCCCTTTAACAATGGCCACAAGGTTGAGATCACACGACCAGTCTAATGTTACTCATTTAACTTGCTTATTCTGCAACTTTTTCCTTTTTCATTTTCAGTTGAGGAATAAATTAATTACAGGTTTACCAGTAATAGTCTAATGAATATTTATTTTATGTGATGATGCATCCAGTGCCAGTATAAAGGTACAAGACTATTGTTTTATCAGCCAGTGACACACAAAAATACTTGGATCTTATAATAAACACAAGTTAGTAAAAATTATTTGTACAACTGATTAAGCTTTTAAAATAACTAATCACTAAATAACGATTAATCTGTGAAAACAAATCATTGGATCAATAACTTGGATGTTTCCGAGTGGAACCAGACCAGACCCTTTATGTGTCATGTATTGCTAAATACCAAATGGACTGGTTAGTAGTTGTGAACTTGCTCTCTCTTGCCTTCAGGTGTGGATGGATGCTGGAACACAAATATTTTACTCTTACGCTCTCTGCATTGGGTGCCTTACAGCTTTGGGAAGCTACAATAAATACAACAACAACTGCTACAAGTGAGCGAACCCATGTCACGAGAAACCATATTCAATTAAATTTACATTTAAATCCATAAATGTATGTTTGGAAATATTTGTGGAGGCAACAGATGTTCTTACCTGTATATATGCAGGATTCAATATCACAAGTGTCAAGTACATTATGCAGTCGAACATTACATTTACTGTGATGGGTTTTGTCTTTCTGCTTATAGAGATTGTGTTTACCTGTGCCTGCTGAACAGTGGAACCAGCTTTGTATCTGGCTTTGCCATCTTTTCAGTTTTGGGCTTCATGGCCTTTGAACAGGGGGTTGATATCTCAACGGTAGCAGAGTCAGGTAACTTAAAAGGAAAATTTTGTCATTAATCACTTACCGCCATGTCGTTCCAAACCCGTAAAAGCTTTGTTCGTCTTCGGAACACAATTTAAGATATTTTGGATGAAAACCGGGAGGCTTGTGACTGTCCCATTGCCTGCCAAGTAAATTACACTGTCAAGGTCCAGAAAAGTATGAAAGACATCGTCAGAATAGTCCATCTGCCATCAGTGGTTCAACCGTAACGTAATGAAGCGACGAGAATTCATTTTTGTATGTGAAGAAAACAAAAATAACGACTTTATTCAACAATTCGTCTCCTCTGTGTCTCTCCGCATCACCGTAGCGCCATTTTGGGGTGGAGTAACCCTTTAAACAACAGCGGCTCCTTTGAGTCATGTCCTTTATGTCATTTCCTACACATTAAGTCTCAATTCACTTGTTTTGCCAGGTCCTGGTTTGGCCTTCATTGCATATCCACGAGCTGTAGCTATGATGCCTCTGTCTCAGCTGTGGTCCATATGTTTCTTCCTCATGATTATTCTGCTGGGGCTTGACAGTGAGGTGAGGCACATCATCTCTCAAGTACATAATGTGTTTGACTGTGTGGAAATTTCAGTTAGGTTTTTATTAACTACTGGCCAGATTAAGTTGTTTAACATAGCAAATATTTCATATACTACAGAAAACTTCATTACACAGCATCCTGTTAAAAGGTACCCTTGGTTCATGACTTTTGTGCATGCAGTATACTAACAGTAAATATGTTATGTAATTTTTTCAGGGTAGTACTACATTAAAACACTGTAATTACACCTCTTTCTCTTTTTCAGTTTGTGGGTTTGGAGTCTCTCATGACAGCCATAACAGACATGAACTCCAACTACTTCCTCCAAGGACACCGTCGTAAACTCTTCCTTCTCCTCATTTGTGTGGGCTGCTTCCTCATTGGCCTCCTGATGGTAACAGAGGTGATTATATTCATAATTTAGTCATTACCGTGGGTTTATTTTGTTCTTAATGTTTGATATTTGTTCTTAATGGTCTAAGTTAGATCACTTAATGACCAATGTAAAAATATGAGATTTGAGCACTGATCAATGTGTTATTTTTTATTTTTTTGCATTGGTTCAATAGGGTGGCCTGTATATCTTCCAGTTATTTGATTACTATTCCTGCAGTGGAATGACCCTCCTCCTTTTTGCCATTGCACAGTCAATATGTATTGGCTGGTTTTATGGTGAGTAATACTGAATCGACACTTAAAAACATGATGTATAAACTTGTCTGCCTTGCACAACTAATATTATAATGTTCTACTCCAGTATTTGATCATCATTTGATGAATTACTGCAGCCACGATCAAACAGATTGTAGGTTTTTGTGTGGAAATACTGTGCCAAAGATAGCACAACTTTTCTCATATGCTATTCAACCACCATACTATACAGTTATACTATTCGGGGACAACTTTACCAGAGTAATTGGAGCATTAAGTGCCTTCTTCAAGGACACTAGTTGTGCTACAGTCACCTTTACATAAAACCTGCAGTTTTTGTGTTGTTAGCTATGATTTTCAAGCAAAGCCACCACCATACTTCAACATTGTGTTTATAGTATATAAATATATATTTAAAAAATATATATATATGTGCCTCAGGGCTCAGTTCTTGGACCACTTCTCTTCTCTGTTATTTAAAAAAACAAACCTTGCTACGTGTACTGCGTTAAGCTAACTGAGACTTGTTATAGCACTTGTATATCATTGCTCTTTTGTTGATTTTGATTGCTTCCATTGTCCTCATTTGTAAGTCGCTTTGGATAAAAGCGTCTGCTAAATGACTAAATGTAATGTAAATGTAGTAAAGTTTGGTCATGTCATGTGTCATAAAAAATAAGAAAAGAGCACAAAACTGGTGAGCCGTCTTTTAATATGTGCAGGTAATTTACTTGGTCACTTCCTCCTTATTGTTTTGTGTATAACCTCCTTTAAGACCTCTGATTCCAATGTCTCTGGTTTTTCAGGTGCTGATCATCTGTACGAAAATATTGTTGACATGATCGGTTATCGTCCTTTGACTTTAATGAAATACTGTTGGAAATATATCACTCCAATTGTGTGTATAGTAAGTACGTGATTTACTCTGATTCATTGTGGTATGGTCATATTAGGCACAAAATTGCAGTTTCCACCAAAGTAATAATTTTATGGAAGAACATCAGAGCTCTTTATTATGCATTCAGCACTAATTTAATACACGTCTTTGCTTCTTTAGGGCACATTTGTCTTTTCTTTGGTCAAATTCACTCCTCTAAAGTTTAACAACACATTTGAATACCCGTGGTGGGGTTATGCGGCTGGCTGCTGGTTCACCCTCTCCTCAACATTGATGGTTCCCATATGGATGATCTATGTTGTCCTCATCACTCCTGGTACATTGAAACAGGTAATTCCATGCATGATTTAACAGTAAAGAACACTAAATTACATTTAAATGTAAAAAGAAGCCATGTTCAAAGCACTGAACTTGCAACTATATGCTTTCACCTTTTTTTAGAGACTGCGTGTCCTTTGCACTCCAGCAAGTGATCTACCTTTGACATCAGAAAGACAAAAAGAAACCCTGTGACCACGACAGAAAGTACAACATGTCCCATGACTGATAAAGAAACATTGGGGGAAAAAACATCCTTGGGCTGTATTTAAGACAACTTTTGATATCAATTATGTCTTTGAAGATACACATTCTCGTGAGATCTCAAGAAGGCACAAACACAAACTGTTCATGTCTGTTTTATACGTTTTTTAATTTTACTATCTTCGATTCTCAATTGCAAGCATCTAAATGTAGATTTAAACTGGAAATGAAAAATTGCACTTGAAAATTGACTTACACGTTTTGCTGTATCTGAGGAAAACTCAGTTTGAGATCATTCTTAAGTGTGATAGCGTCAACAACTTGTTGTATCATAAATGTTCATACGATATAAGTTTTTCTGAAGAAGATAGCAAAAAAAAAAAAATGTATCATGATGCAGTGGACCCAACCCTATTTTGGATGGACCAATGTTCATTACAGTTGGTATATGATTAGAAAATGTTGGATAATGTGTTATTTTCAGTAAGAGAGACTAACCAGAGCAGCTCACTATGACAGACTTTGTGCGTTGTAAAAGAAGTACAAGGCACCTTCGGTTCATTTCAATCAAATGTTAGGGTGTAACAGTATTTTATAATAGCAACACTTTTTTTAGGTTTCTGTGGGTCAGTCATGCAACACTTTGCTGTTTTGTGCCTATAGTCAAGTGCTGGTGTTTTGAGAAAGTGTTACAGAAAGTAAATTATGTTGGGGGTTTTGTATTACAAATATTACAACATTTGTAATAGATTCAAGAAAATAGATTCACCAAGAAAATCCATATTTTGCTGCTTAAATCTGCTTAGATGTTCAGTCTATATTCTAAAATCTATCATTTTAGTAAAATGCATAATTTAATATCTATAGGTCATTCAAGCTTATGTACATTTTTATAATTGATGCACTTGAAAGGCCAGTGGTTAATGTTTTAAGAAATGCTCTATTCAAATCAACAGTCAAATTATTGAAAATGATTGCTGGTTGAAATGGGTTGGTGACAGCAGCTTGTTTTTACTTTAAAGATTTTTCTGAAGCGTCCAAGCAAATATTAAACAGCTAGGTGAAAGATGAAAGCATGTTGAATTTTGAATTCTTGGATTAAAATTGTTAAAGGATGACGTTAGACACGATTGCGGTCAGGCATGACAGACTGTCAGTTATATACTGTACTTCTGTTTTACTGAGGTATCTTAATGTGATTTATTAATGTAAATAATTAACAGTGTAGTTGATACAATAACAGTCAATGAAAATTCTACATTTGAACTGCCATTTCATTTGCATGACCATAGGAGATTAAAGTCATATGCAGTTTAAGGGGAAAAAACTAAATCTGGGATTATATCATGATTGTAGTGGTTTTTTAAGTAAGTTTGAAACTGTTTATCATTCTCAAGAATGAAAAGCCGGTGATGGTGCTCTTCTTTAGTCTACAACTGGGTTAAAGGCTAAAGGCCTCCTTTTGCAAATACACACTCTAGCCAAAAAGGCCACCCAAACACTGGCAGAGGATGAAAAAGCAGAATGTATGCACTGCTAAACACTGTGTTCCGAGGAATAGTGGGGAATGGATTTCTTGTGATTTGAATTTGTAAAGTGGGCCAATTACAATGTAGATTCATTTGTGAATTATGCCTGTACAAATTTTGTACACAGTTTGGTTTCTAAAGCAGTAAATTATAGGAGTAATGAAATGCCAAAGTGATTAATAAACAGCACATTTCTACACTATTTGCTAAAGTGTTATTTTGAAGTATTTACTTAAATCATACAAAATATTTTTATATTTCAAAGTGTTTGCATATAATGACAAATGCCCCTATATTTACACTACATCACTGACAGTTTTTCCAGAGGCCTTTTGTCCCAGATTGGGCATTTGGGGTAAAAGGTCCCTCAAGCTGCTTTTTGTAATAGGATTTTTAATTGAAACAAACTTCCTTTACCATTGCCATAAAGATAGTTTCATCTTCAATAGTTCGTCATGCATTTTGGGACATTTTCTACAGTATTAATATATACTAGATAGATAGATAGATAGACAGACAGACAGACAATTAAACTACTTCAAAGGTTGGAGAGATTTTCTTTAATGTTTTTGAAAGAAGTCTATTATGCCCACCGAGGCTGCATTTATTTGACCAAAGTACATTAACTGTTGTAATATTACAAATATTACAGATAACTGTTTTCTACTTTAATGTTTTACAATATAAATTTATCTCTGTGATGGCAAGCTGAAAGCATCATTACTCCAGTCTTCAGTGTCACATGATCCTTCAGAAATCATTCTAATATGCTGATTTGGTGCTCAAGAAACATTTCTTATTATCGAAGTTGAGCTGCTTAAGTTTTGTGGAAACCATGATACTTTTTTTCAAGATTGATAAAGTTCAAAAGAACAGCAATTACCGTGTTTGAAAAAAAATCTTACTGACCCCAAATTTTCAAACAGTTCTGTACATACAATATTTCTAAAAAGCATGTTCATAGACTTGCCACTTCTACAACAATTTCAGAGTTTGTAAATGTCTAAAGTCAGACATTGACTGCAAACAACTACAAAAACACAGGACACTTAAACAGTTTTCTTTGAATATTGACAGGTCTGCTGTAATGCATCAAACTGTAAACAGAAAAAAGTTAAACCGTTTATTATTAATAATATTTTTAAAATTGTCTGAAATATGGGGAACATACTGAAAGACATGCAAACCACACTAGTTAGTATTTGATCAAATAAACAAGTGGGTTTTAAGAAAACAGTTCTTTGAAATATTCCTATCTTGTCAAAAGATTTGACTAAAAAGCATTTGAGCTTTTAACTGTAATGGAAACGCAGCTCACAAATACAGCTATTGAATTTCAGTCAAGTATATCTACTGGGTTTCAGGTTGAAACTAACCTGCAGATACAGTCCCAAATCGAGGACGTTCCCAGGATGCAGTAAAGAAGCATGCACAAGCCTCTTAAAAGTATCAAAAATGTGTTTGTGAGTGTGGGCCTGCCACGACTTGACGTTTTCCCCAATGGGAGGATTGCACTTTTAGGTCCAGCTACCCACTATGGTCACTTGAATCTAAATATCATACACACTTATACAAGTATAATACAAAAAATCATCAAGCCCCCAGTCCACATCCCACCACTGCAAACTTAAACTAATCTGATTATGCACAAAGTCAATGCAATTACACTGAATACTGTACAGTACATGGTAAGGTACTAGGTTATATTCAAGTCTGTAAAGCTTTTGCATTAATGCAGCGGATGAATGCCTTTCTGATAGCCAAGGCATGCACCATACAGGTTTACTGGTGGTCACAGAATTGTGCGCTTTGGTTTTTGTTGTTGTTTGTTTTTGTCATTGTAGGAATGTCATTAAGGTCTGAAGCTCCTAAACGTCAATAAACCATTATGCAAATCCTTCCCAGCATTTGCTTTCAGTCTGAGAAATAATGAGGTCCGAGGTCAAGGTGTATAGAGGGCTCATCCACGCCTCTACCCATGGCCTCTCTCATGATACAATTGAGGATGGACCAGCCATCTCCACAGCCTGACCTCCTTGCTTTGGGTGTCCTGAATACATCTCGAGTTTTAGGAGCCGTCCTGACTGAGACGAGGTCTCTTTAATCCCTGCTTATTCTGATAAGAAATTCCACGGTCTTCTTTTTTCCTTTTTAATCGTCCCACCTACAGAAACAACATAAACAACATATAACTAATAGTATTTTCAAAGTCCCTAAAACAATAAATATATCAATTATTAAAATGATAGTTTTACCAAAAATTTAAATATTAAAATAATCAAACCTAGATTTAACCTCTAATCTATATTTTTTCTTCCATCAATAACCTTTTTTTTTTTTTTAAGAAGAAGAAGAACAACATACAGTTCTGGAATACAGAACTTCTGGAATCACAATTAGGGGAATCAGGGGAAGTCATGGCCTAATGGTTAGAGAGTCGGACTCGTAACCCAAAGGTTGCAGGTTCGAGTCTCGTACCGGCAGGGATTGTAGGTGGGGGGAGTGAATGTACAGCGCTCTCTCCCACCTTCAATACCACGACTGAGGTGCCCTTGAGCAAGGCACCTTGCTCCCCGGAACCCCAAGGAACCCCCAACTGCTCCCCGGGCGCCGCAGCAAAAAATGGCTGCCCACTGCTCCGGGTGTGTGTTCACGGTGTGTGTGTGTGTTCACTGCTGTGTGTGTGCACTTTGGATGGGATAAATGCAGAGCACTAATTCCGAGTATGGGTCACCATACTTAGCCACATGTCACTTCACAAAATGAACTGTAGTTCATTTAATGTATTCAGCATTGTTCTTATTATATATGTATATATTAAATACATACATTACATTTGCATTAAACCCATATGCAAATGCAATATATGTACACATATTAATTTTCCATATATGAAATATAGTCATATGAATTAAAAACATACAGTATATAAAACATTAGAAATTGGAACGATTTCATATATATCTAGCCCAAACAAATATGAATGTATGTGTAATACATACATGGACATATTTGACATGTACATGTATATCCATCCTAAAACCTGTCAATACATGTTGATATTATATAAGTAAATTTAAAAGATAGATGTGTATTTTTAAAAATTACAAAAACAACTTTTTTTGTATATTTTAAGTTGCATATATAACTAAAATGGATATTGTTGACTAATTTATATTGTTATATATTATAAATTATATGTGTGTTTGTGTGTGTGTGCGTGTATGTGTGTGTGTGTATGGTTGCTACATAGTGCCATATAAAAACTCATCATATGCATTTTAACATTAACATATGTACACATTCAAATTTTAAATTGGAGATTTTACATATGTTATAATCTTATATATAATTATATATAACCTCATAGGTAACATAAATGGCAATATATTCATATTTTAAATTTTCATACTGGAAGAGCTACTGCAAAAGGGGAAGATTCTCAGTCACTTACTACTTCTGAATCTTGCACAAACACTGGCTTTGGAAGATTTGGAATATAGCACAAAAATCATACTGATTTATTTTACTTTATTTTTGTCATCTTAGACAAATCGTCACAATTACTTGCATTGAATGCAAAAAATCAGCGAAATAACATGAGGGTGAGTAAATGATAACTGAATTTTTGAAAAATGTATCATTACTTCAATTAAACATAAAAAATTTACATTTGATTTTATTTGTTAACTTGACTAATACCAAAGTCCCTTTAAGGCAAGTCATGTCACTCGGCGGCCATCTTTGAAACGCCTCTCGGGCATGCAAAAGCAGCTCCTCGGTGCGTTCCAAACGGGATATATCGCCCTCCGAAGGGCACTTCGGAGTGAAAACAATCATGGCCGCCATATTGAAG